GCAGGCCTCCCTCTGGCAGGTGTCCACCCAAACTTGTCACCAGCCAGGGAAGCCAGCAGACCTACACAGCAGGGTCCTTTCCGAAGGGAAGGTCTCAGGGAGGGGACTCTTCTTGCACCTCTCCTTTACTAAAAAACAAGGAGGCTCGAAACAGTTTGTGCTCGGCGCCGGCCAGGCCACGAGGACGTCCCTTGAGGGTTTGGGATGGAGTCCTTGAGCTTGCCCTCCTCCTAGGAGAAGCAGCTGTGAAATTGGCCTCTTCCTGCCTTTCCTGAAGCCGCTCCCAGGGAGTGCCCTGGGCTTGCTCGGGCCCTGAGGCTCTGCTGTCGGAGGGGCCAACTCACCCTGCCTTGGTCCCCTGACCGCAGGACATCCGCAGTCAGCGCCGTCGGCGGCAGCAGCGGAAGGCAGAGCTGGGGAAGCTGCAGGCCACGCTGCGGGGCCTGGACGCCAAGACGGCCTTCTGCGAGGAGCAGGGTGACTACTACAGCCAATACATCCGGGCCTGCCTGGGCCACCTGGCCCCCCGCTCCTCGTAGGTGCTGCCCTGCATCCCAAGGCTACCTGGGCCCTGTCGCCCCCGCCCATGGGGCCTTTGCCCCATTCCACCAGCTTTGAAAGGGACCCCATCCCAGGACCGCATGGTCCCCGTCTGAGCGTGGCCGTCGAGCCTCGGGCTCGAGCGCAGCCCCTTGTCCTCCACCAGGGAGGGTCCTCGGGCTCTGATCTCCTTCCTGCAGACACAGAGGACCAGTGTCTTTGGAGTTGAAGACTTGCTAAGGTGAATCCTCTGCGGCCTTTTTGAATCAGGAGCTCTGGGAAAGGGAAGAAGCAGCCGTCGCTCCGTTACACCGCCGCCCAGCTCCTGGAGAAGGGTGTCCTGGTGGAAATTGAGGATCTTCCCGCCTCTCAGTACGTGTCAGACCCCAGCCGTGTCCCAGCGTGGGGAGGGAGGAGGGGCTGTGGGGACGGGGGCGGTGGGGAGGGAGACGGGACGTCCAGGCAGAAAGCTAAGGCCAGGGGACGTGAGCCAGCACAGTCCGAGATGGCCCATGGCAGAGGGCGCTGGGGACACTTCCTGGAGGAGCGGACAGCTGAGAAGGGCAGGTAGATGGTGGGTCCGCGGCGTAGTGATCAGGGAAGACAGGCCGCCGTGCCCGTGGGAACCCAGGGGAAGTCTGGGCTCAGGGACACACAGCGCTGTCTGGCCGCACCTCAGTGGGTGGAGGAGCAAGGCTGGGGCCCTGGAAAGAGGCACCCAAGTCCCCATTTCGAATCCTGACCCTGACAGCTTCAGAAACGTGATCTTTGACATCACCCCTGGAGACGAGGCAGGAAAGTTTGAAGTAAACGCCAAGTTCCTGGGTGTGGACATGGAGCGGTTTCAGCTTCACTACCAGGTGAGGGGCCTCCCGTGGGCCCGCCAGCCACCTGCTGGGCTCGGGTGCTGGCCCGAGCACAGTAGTCCCGCGTCCTTTCCCTAGGCCTCAGAGGACAGCAGCTCCACTCCCCTCCCAGTCAGTACTCTCTGTTCCTGAACAGAAGGCTGAGGGTCTCGCAGCCCAAGCCCCTCTGTCCCCAGCCCCTCGCAGCAGCAGGTCGGGGCTCGGGATAGTGATGTCAGAGCGGGACGAGCACTGGGAGCCCCAGCCCGTGCCCGTGACCATGCACGCTCCACCATGCACCCTGCGCACGGCCCCACAGCGTTACCCTAATCGTACAGGCTTTGAGGCCGATGGGGAAGAAGCTGGCCCGTCAGAGGCCAGAGTTCAGGGAAGCAGTGATTTTTTTTTTTTTTTAAGATTTTCTTTATTTGAGAGAGAGAGTGCGCATGTTCACACATGCATGAGTGGGGGGGCAGAGGGAGGGGGAGAATCAGACTCCCCGCAGAGCAGGGAGCCCGATGCGGGGCTCGATCCCTGGACCCCAAGATCGTGACCTGAGCTGAAGGCAGACGCTCAACGACTGAACCACCCAGGTGCCCCTGGAAGCAGTGATTTTAAACCCAAATTTTTTTGTTCTGCTCTTTGGCCTTTTGAACGATAAAACATATTTCAAGCCCTCGTGCTTGAGTTTACATTTGGTTAAGTCACCGTGCTTTGTCGGCCTTGGTGCCCTCCTCTGTGAAGTGGGGTCTTGGTGGCCAGCGCTGCTGGATGGGCCAGGAGGCTCCAGCATGAGAGCATTCCGGAGCCTGGCAGGGCCACCGCCGAGAGCCCTCACCCCTGCCCTCTCCCCAGGACCTCCTGCAGCTCCAGTACGAAGGTGTAGCTGTCATGAAACTCTTCAACAAGGCCAGGGTCAACGTCAACCTTCTCATCTTCCTCCTCAACAAGAAACTCCTGCGGCAGTGACGGAGGCCATGGGCGCTCCCTGAGCCCTCTTCCCTGCTGGATGCTAGTCTGACCCGCACTCACCACCGCACTTCCCTGCGGCTCCCCAGCCCGGGACTTAGGACCCCCGGGGCTCAGGGGCTCAGGACGGGGCTGAGCGCTGGAGTCCCACACCCCCCCAGCTGGTCACAGACAGGGTGTCCCGCTAATGGGAGCCTCGCCCTGAGTCTGGCCGTGTGGCTGATAAGCCCCAGAGCCCTCGCCTCCCTCCAGTAGGGCATGAGGCCAGGGCCTGCCCTTTGCCTGGGGGAGGCTGCTGCCCTCCCGTGGTCACCCCAGTATGACCCGCACTGCCCTGGGCTCCGGGTTCCCTCCCCATCCCTTCTCCCTGCATGCCCCCAAGCCAGGGCCGGCTGCCCTCTCCCTGCTGCCCGCCCCCATGGCGGCTTGGTCAGGATGGCCCCCGTCAAGCTCAGATTTCATTCCTTTGTGGGTCCCTCGGGGATTTATTCTCCCCCAGCACATGCACCATGCGTCACTGTGCGGCTTTGATCATGGCTTTAATTCATGCACCTTTTTGAGCTCAGAGGAGTTGTCGTGTCCCACATTCACACTAACGTCAGGGCGCCTTGGGTCAGGGGCAGGAAGGACCCCTGTGTGTTGAAGACCCCGTCCGTCCACTTCCTACGGTACAAGGAGCGTCTCTCCCCCTCGGGACTCCGATTCTTCTGGGCAGTTTCAGTCCATCTGCACCCGCCTTCCTGTCCCTCTGCCCCTGATGTCATTTGAATAAAAGCAGCTATCACCCCACATCTGCTGTTAACCCTTGGCTTCATTTCGTGCAGAGCAGGCCCCCGAGTTGTGGGACGGCTCCTCTCTGAGTGCTGGGGTGTCCTCCCATATGGGCCCACTCTGCCTGCGCTCCCGAAAGCTTCCGGAGATGTGGCCTTTCCCCCTCTGGCCGCTCCCCCAGGGGACAGGGAGGAGGAAGGAATGCTTAGGTTTCGATGCCCAGTGGCCGCACTCTGAAGACTAAAGCCGAGAAGAGGAGAAACCCGTCTGAGTTCTGCCCCACCCACTCTGCACACGTTTCCAGCAGGTTCTCTTCCCGGGCTTCGGGTGACCCCAGATGTGCTCTCGCCGAAGCTCCTTAGTGTATCGTAGCTTCTGCACTCTGGTGAAAATCCCCTTTCCATGACAAAAGCCGCCTCCTTTCCTCCTTGCTCTCAGGGAACAGGGACAAAGTCTGGGGAGGAGGGGATGGTACAGAGACACCTGCCCTGACCTCTGAACTCCCAAGAAGTCCCTAGTGGGCACCCCCAAGTTTGCCTGGTGCCGCCTGCCTCCCTGTCACTCAGGATCTGTCTTGCTGTCACGTCCTCTCTTTCCTGTGACATGTCACGGCAGAGACTTCAAGTACCGCCTTGCTCTGGGTGACGGTGACACATAGTGGATCCAGGTTTCTACACGTTAGCAGTCATCATTGAAAATCTCGCACTCACCAAATGGCTCCGGGACCGTCCCTCTGTGACACTGCCTGGTGATCACGTGATCTCCGCCATGTACTCGGCATACTGAAACGTCACCGTAGCCACTGTCCTCGAGGGCCTGTCGTGTCTGGTGTATTTATATGCACTTACTCCTCCCAGCAACCCCACGAGGGTAAGTCGCCCTCCCTTTGGAACTGAGACCCCGAGGTTTGGGTGACCCACCAAAGATGCAACAGGCGATAAGGGGCAGAACAGGGCTTTAAACTCGGGCCTGCTCGGTCTGAGATATTCCCCCACATTTTTGTCTTTTCTGAGAGAAGCATTTCCACTTCCTTCAGCCCACGCTCTCATGCCACTCTCTCTCGCGCGCCCACTGCTCAACCCTACTGATGGTCCCTGATGAGCGTCAGTTCATCAGGTCTTCCTAACCATAGATGGCCAATCTGAGACACGGGCACTTAGCTCCTCTGGGGGAAGAGCAATCTCTTTGGAGGACAATTTGACAACAAAAACGTACATGCAGGTTGCCAAGCCCATTTAACGGGGAAAGAGCGGTCTATCTACCAAATGTGTGTTGGGACAACTGAATATCCACATAGGGAACAACAAAGCTGGACCCCTACCTCGCACCATAAACAAACATGGAAATGGATCATAGACCAAAATGTAAGAGCCAAAACTCATAAAACTCTTTTTTTTTTTAAAGATTTTATTTATTTATTTGAGAGAGAGTGAGAGAGAACATGAGAGGGGAGAGGGTCAGAGGGAGAAGCAGACTCCCCACTGAGCAGGGAGCCTGATGTGGGACTCGATCCCGGGACTCCAGGATCACGACCTGAGCTGAAGGCAGTTGCTTAACCAACCGAGCCACCCAGGCGCCCAAAACTCATAAAACAGAAGAAAACCTAAAGTTTCATGACTTCGATCAGGCCGTGGTTTCTGAGGACACCAGAGGCACAGGAGGCAAAAACTAGATAAAGCGGACTCCATCAAAGTTAACTCATGCTTCAAAGGACACCTTCAAGAAAACAAAAAAACCCGACAGAATGGGAGAAGATACTTGCAAATCATCTATCTTAATAAGGGACTTGCTTCTAGAATGTATAAAGAGCTCCTAGAGGGCGCCTGGGTGGCTCAGTTGGTTAAGCGACTGCCTTCGGCTCAGGTCATGATCCTGGAGTCCCGGGATCGAGTCCCGCATCGGGCTCCCTGCTCAGCGGGGGGTCTGCTTCCCCCTCTGCCCTCTGCCCTCTTCCCTCTCGTGCTCTCTGTCTCTCATTCTCTCTCTCTCTCAAATAAATAAATAAAATCTTTAAAAAAAAAAAAAAGAGCTCCTAGAACTCAAAAAGACAACACAATTAAATGGGCAAAGAATTTTAATGGCCATTTCTCAAAAAAAAGACATACAAATAGCTAATAAGCACATGAAAAGATGCTCAACATCATTAGATACTAGCAAAATGCAAATTAGGTTTTAATGAGATAACCACTTCATCCCCCGCTAGGATGGCTAAATTAACACCAGTAATAAAAAGCGTTGGTGAGGATGTGGAGAGATTAGAGCTCCTATTTGCTGGGATGGTTGTAAAATGGTGGAGCCACTTTGGAAAACAATTTGGTATTTCCTCCGAACGTTAAACCTGTGAGTCAGCCGTTCCCCTTCCTGGGTATATACCCAAGAAAATTGGAAGCCTGTGTCCACCCAAAAGTCTATACACAAATGTCCATCAGCTGATGGACGGATCAACAAAAGGTGGTGTGTCCATACCAACGGAATACTGTTCAGCCATGGAAAGGGATGAAGCAGGACATACGCGACAACATGGAGGAGACTTGAAAACATGCAGCACGCAGGTCAGACACACGTCACGTATGTATGATTCCATTACACGGACGTCCAGGATGGCAAATTCGTAGGAACGGAGAGTAGATTAGCTGTCGCCAGGGTCTGGGGAGAGGGGAGAAGGGAGTGACAGCGCATGGGTGTGGGGCTTCGTTTCGGGGCGGTGGAAACGTTCCGTAATTTAGTGATGGCTGCACAACTCCGAGCACAGTAAAAAACACTCCATTTTATACCTTAAAAGGGTGAATTCTGTGGTATGTGAGTTGTGTTTCAAGAAAACTGTTACTTTGCCGGGTGTGGGCGTCGCGGTCGGCAGGGTCCTGGGACTGAGTCCTGGGGGAGTCTGCTTCTCCCTCTCCCTCTGCCCCTCCTCCTGCTCGCTCTCTCTCTCATTCTCTCTAAAATAAGCAAATAAATAAAATCTTTTTTAAAAAAAGAAGCAAGCAAGCTGTTAGTTTTCAAACCGTAGGTGCACACACCCAGCAAGGAGGGCTTCCCATGAACGTCCGTGGCCGGGGCGGGGAGCTGGGGAGCGTCTGTTGCGGGACCGTGTGTGGCCACAGTGGTCTCAGGGGAGCGGCCCCAGGACAGGCCCTCACGCAGCCCGGAGGTGCGAGTGTTTCCAGTGTGTGTTTGGGGGGACACAGGAGAACCGTGGCAGGGGTCACCTTTGGGGAGCAGGGATGAGGCGGCACCTCTTTCTGCACTGTTATTCCCGTGAGCCTCTGTCGCTCTCGGGGAAAGGGAAGCAAGCACGCACGCGGGCTCTAGAACTGCGGTGTGAGCACGCAGAGGGGCGGCAGGCCCCTGTCCCAGAGCCGCGATGCGCATAGAAACGGGGAGCAAGCACCCCGACCCCTACAGCCAGCGTGCAGTGAACCAAAAAATCTAAAAAATCTAAAGACTGAATCTAAAAATTAAAGATCGAGCTCATTCGTATGTTATGGATCTTTCTCATTTCATTTTTCTAGTAACTCATTTTTGCGGCATTTCACAAAAATACCCGTCCAGGGGCGCCCGGCTGGCTGGTGTGTGTGGGGGGAAGCGGGTGAATCTTGATCCCGGGGTCGTGAGTTCAAGCCCCACGCTGGACGTGGAGCCGACTCAGAAATCTATCTACAGATCAGTCCGTCACAGTGGAAATTTTAGGAAGGCGGCTTTCACCACAGACGGTCTGAGGACAGCTGCTCCCGGGGGCGCCACGGAGAAAGGAGCCCTGTCAGGTCGGAGCTGGTGCTGATCGGCCACGCAGATCACGCTGTCCGCACAGTTTTACGTCCTGCTGTGTTCCTTCAGCCATCAGAAACATCTTTCCGTGTCTTTAAAATTTCTTCAGAAAATTTCTTCACGTTGGGGCGCCTGGGTGGCTCAGTTGGTTA